ATCAATGGAATATTAATGGATATATATTTGGGGTGATTTGATTGATCTGATGATCAAACGGCACCAGTGTCTCACTTCAATTCCTTTCGTCGTCCCTTCAAAATTACGATCTTATGATCCAAATCTTTATGACGTGAGATGTTTTCCTCGATTGGACTCATGAAGTTGCATGGAAAGTGCAAACTACCTTATGCTTCCTAAAAAAAATGCACTTGCAACTAAAAGACGATGACCCTGTTTGGTAAATGACTGTTAGCTGATAGTTGTTAGTTGTTAGCTGATTGGATTAATTAGATGAATAATTAGTTGATAACATTAGCTGATTCTAGAAAAATGTTTGGTAAATTAGCTGTTAGTTGATAGTTGTTTGATATAATTTCTTTGCTCAAAAAGCTAATTGAAAAAATTGTTTTGAGTAGCTTTTTGAATTTTAGCATTTTGGAGTTACAAAAAAACTAATTAACCTAATACTTATATTGATTTTTTAACCAAGTCAAACAACTAATAATGGTTAAAAGCCCAAAATTGACCTATAAGCTAACTATTTTACCAAACAGGGCCGGTATGTCGAGAGAAAGTGATTTGATTCGTTTAAGTATGAGCTAGGTTAAAAGTTAAACTTATATGTGTATAATAACACCCTTAAGAGAGGTTAGAGATCGAGCTAGTTAGGAAAAACGAGATCAAGAAATTCATAATAAAGACAAAAATGAAAGTAGAACATAAGACCTACGTGATTGTTTAGTGCATGTATGTGTCTATATTCACGGGGTGAAACAATTCTTTTTATTTATTGTTATGGTTTATACATCTAGAATTACAAACATCATATTTATATGCAATTCTAACTTATGATAATTTATAAAATTACCCGTGTACCGTATTGCTGGGGCGCTACCTTCGCACGCACAATCCACTCAATGAATCAAGTTTAGGTGTGAACCATGCAGAAATGTGATGTCACTTCGTGTTGGTCGGAGGCTGGGAGGCCTGAGTCCAGTATCTTGCCATTGAAATGTAGCGCTGACTGATACACAAGTACAAGTACAAAGAAATGAAGTTACCCTTTGCTAATAGGTATAACTTTTGAGGCACCTGATTTTGACAACTAGAATCAAAGTAGGTCATGTGTTCGAATTCAATTAAAAATATGAGAGAATATTTGGTGATAGACGCACGATCTTGATGCTTCATACACAACAGAGCACCCATCAAATGAAGCCTAAGCCTCTAGTGCAAATAATACTTCTACAATATACAAATTTATTCAAAAGAAAAAAGATTGAGTACAATATGTATATTCTATGTATTGATCATGCTCGTTTGCTTTAAGAGTATAACTCTATTTTTTTTAATCAAGAGTATAACTCTATTTAATTAGCTATTTAATAATATGTAGGGTGGTTATATTTGGATAGAACATTTATAATTATATCCGAGTAATCATTAATGAATCATATATACAAATTCTATATTCACTAATTTTCTATTCTATTCTTTTACTATTTTAATTATTATAATCACATGCCTTTAAGGCCTTAACGTGATTGTGAAAGACATGTGAGGATAAAAACTATTAGGTGGGTAGATTCGATAGAGGCAAACAAGTACCAAAATCATTATCTTCGTCTCAATGGGTTCAACTTGTGCTAGTAGTCTTTGTTGTGTTGTTATGTTGGAATCGACTATCCAAGCTTTCACCCAACAATTCTTCTTCAGCATTAATACAAATTGTAAGGATCAAATTAACGCTTATCACTATGTTACAAGGTATATCTAGTAGTGAATGCGCAACTTTATTTCTTTAAACTTGCGTAGTAGTCAGTGTCATGTTTCAATGACAAGATGTTAGATTTGGCTCTCCAAGCCACAACCCAACATATAGCTTTTTACATAGTCGTAAGCACATGATCTTGAGAATTGTACTGGCAAGTGTTGGGTTGGGTTGTTGGGTAGAGGTTTGGAGGACCAAATACAACAACCTACCATAGAAACGTGGCGTCTATTGATACGCAAGTATAAGGAAATACAACTTTGCATTCTCTACTAATTCTATTTTTTGGCTAGTGGTAATAAACGTTTGATCCTAATACCCAACATCCTGCCTTTTAGAACGTGGTGCGAAATGCTACGCAAGTAAAAAAAATAAATAAATTGAATCTTATCTATTAGTTATACCTTTTGGCGTAGTAGTAATTGGTAAGCAGTTGGTTGTCCATACGCCAAAAGTTATTACTAGTAAATAATGTCAACTTTCTTTCAATATACTTGTGTAGTTGTCAACGCCAAGTTTCAATAATAGGATGATGAACGTGCTCCTTCAAACCTCTGCTTTGCATGGTTGATATTCTTGTAAGAATTTTTAAGTTTTTTTTTTTTTTTTTTTTTTGGTGGATTAAAAAAAAATGGTAATTGCCAAAGACCTTTGAATCTATTAATTAAAAGTGAGACCTTCTGAATTTAATGTCATTGTTAAAATCCCATTAGACACACTTGTTGGTGTGGCCTGGGTTACATACACAATACTATTACATGCATATAAATTTATATGCAACTATATAATGAGGTAAAGTAATGCATAATAAGTGACCAATATTAAAAAGTTATAACATTGTATTAGTATTGTTAAGGCAAAAGTTGGTGGGTTGAGTCTAATATTTTACTATTAAAACGTGATATTAATGATTACATATATGCATAAGGAAATAAATATTTTGTTTTCGTAACTGCTGGTTGGTTGCCTATGGCCTTCTAGAAACTTCTCTTTATTCATTATTGCAAATTTCACTAATCTAAGCTTGGCATCATATGATCACAATGTTTTAGAAGCTTAATAAACTAATGCAATAGTACTTGACACTAACAATTTCCCCCAAACCCTACAACCGGCGGCAGATTAGGCTTTTAGCACGTTAGCCCCAAAAGAGACTAATTCCTTCAAGTTCGACGGTCAAACACAACAAAACAAAATATTATGATCCATAATTAAGGTTGTGAGGTAGGATTGTTCTCATGTTTTATTTTAGGGAATTTATTCTAAGATTCTTTTTTTTTTTTTTAAATGTCCAATGATTAGTTATCACTTATTTTGAGTTTATATCATGATTGCATAATGCTACATTTCTTTCCTAATTTTATATCTTTACATGATAATATTTAATAACAAATAAGTAGATTATTTTGCTCATGAGTGTAGTAGATGCCTAATGTTATAACAACAATGGACCGTTTGTGTGTGTCATATTTTCAAAGAACAAAATCGTTTAATTGATTTCCTTGCCAAGATTGTAGCTTGCAATTAGTCCTTTTTTTGTGATTGGAAACTTCAAAGTGTGCTTCAACAACGCTTCTAAATGACGATGTTCTGGGTCCCAATGATGTGCAGGACCTCCAAAGCCATGCAATTCTTTTTTAATATTGGACGGGGTTGATCAATTTAGAGTAGTTAATGGATAAAAAGAATTTCATTGCAGTGTTAGGAGTTGAACATTAAAATGTAAAATCAGACAAAATAATAATATTTTTATACTTTTCTTCCCCCAAATACTGCCTACTGAACCAGTGAGCTAAACCCGTGCAGACATATAATATTTATGTACTATCACTATATGTCTCATTGAGTTTTCTCATATGTACTCATTCATTTTAAAGTAGACCATATTAGTTCTCAATTATTTAAAATGGTCAGATTCAATAATTTTTACCAAATTTATTGAGGAATAGTTAAATTTGAGAGTAAAATTGTAACTTTAATTCATATATTGATATGATGCCTGGTAACTTCAGTCATTAGTTTAACAAAGTCAAAATTCCCAAATTAAGAATTAAAATCAAACTCTAAATTCCATCTATTAGAAACTCCACTCATCCTTCATGTGGAATCTAATTCAGATTTGATAATGAAGAATTAAATACGATAAATTCTCAATAATCAAAGACTAATTGTGTTTGATTTTGAAGTCTAAAACCAAATGTAAAATTAAATTAAAACTTAATAATCAAGAGACATTTTTTGTGGAACTAACTCGTTATGTTGTTTTTTTTAGTGACTAGAAAAACTCATAGTCACTACCTAAGAGTATGGTAAACTTGCCTTGTGACTCTAACTGACAAAGGATTATAAGGAGGTGAACTAGCCTAGATTACCCATAGTTGACCGGCTCGAGCCAAGATGATCAATAGGGCGCTCCCATTGGAAGTCAGACTTGTAAACTTATGATTACCAAACCAACTGTTTGCCAACTTGGCTGGGGTTGCCCCCAATTATGTTGTTATTTGGTCACACGTGATGAGCTCTTTGTTATTGGCCCTGTTTGGTAACATAGTTAGCTTATCAGTCAATTTTGACTTATTTGACCACTATTAGCTGTTTGATTTGGTTAAACACCCAATATGAGTGTTTGATTGATTATTGCTCAAAAATGCTAAAATTCAAAAAGCGGTAAAAGTAACTTTTTCGATTAGCTTTTTGAGAAAATCATTTTGCATGTAATCAGCTAGCAGCTAATTTACCAAACACTTTTCTACAATCAACTAATGCTATCAACTAGTCAAACCCACTAACCAATCAGCTAACAGTTATTTACCAAACACCCCCTTTGGGTAATGAAGAAAAGTTGTAGTAGCAATGGGCTTGAAAGGGTATTTACAAGAATCAAACTCGTGACCTTTTAATACAAAAATTGTGCTCCATCTACTTAGTTGCCACACCTTCATAAAACTTAGACACTTGAAACAATTGAACTTTTATTTTGGTATGATTGTTCATGTTACTATATTGCTTTCCTCTTTCCCCTAATTAGAGCTGAAAAGAAATTAAACTCACTCAAAGATTTCAATATTTCTAGGTTTCACTGCAGATAAGTTAATTAATTATGGAAAGATTATATATCATCATCAGTTATTGATGATCATCTTACAATTTAAACTAGCTAATTTCCAGTAAATTTTTACTAATGATAGAAGCAAATAAAGCACAGAACAAAAGGTTTAAACCTTAATTACATCCCAGGAAAAGTCAACTGTTTCTTGGTAGGAGGGAGAATATCTGCAATATATATATCATATAAAATCACAAAACATGATAATATTTGCATTAATTGATAGAGTGAAGACAAGAAAACCGTTTGAACGACAAACAGAAGATTCAGAAATTGAAAAACGTTTTGTTTGACCTTACTAAAAATCTCAATATTCTGAAACCTCAGACTTTCTGATCAAATCTTGGAAGCTCAGAACAAGAGATCAGATGATGATGAAGAACAAGAACAACCAGAAAATCAAACGCTGATATGTATATATGAAATACAAACAGCAAAAAGCATTTCTTGAATGAAAGGAAAGTACTATTAGGTGATGATTCGCAGAACCTTGTAGTTTAGTAGCATAAGTTCGGGATTGTTCGATCATGGTTCCCTCCATCGGCCAATATATATCATATATTTGTCTGCACGGGTTTAGTTCACTAGGCAGTATATTATTAATATACAATGAAAATGGGGGATTTTGTTTTTCTTGATATGAATAGAAAATGGAGTGTTTGGAAGTTATTGGGATGAATCTGAGATGATTAGTAGTTCCAGAGGGTTTCGGCGTCGGAGTTTTCCGGGGAATCATCGGCGGGATGGGAGGAGTTGATCCTCGGCGGGCTCACCATCATTCCTCCGGCCATGTCCACCAGCAAATTGTGCATATCGAACAGCTCTTCTTCGTCAATATACTCTGTGTTAACCGACGGATCATCTTTCCTCTCTTGGCGGCTACCGCCGCCATCGCCGCTGCTGCTCTCAGGCTTCATCATCGCCGCCGCGCTAGCAGCGGCGCGTCTTATATCCGCCGCCTCGGAGGAAACGGGGACGGGGTACCGGGCGGCGTAGGCAGGGAAGTTGAGCACGGCCTCGGCGCTCCTAAGGGCCAGCGCCGCCACGTCGTAGGCCGCCGCCGCCATCTCCGGCGTCGGATACGTCCCCAGCCAAATCCGCGTCGTCTTCCGCGGCTCCCGAATCTCCGACACCCATTTCCCGCTCCGGCTCCTAACGCCGCGGTACTTTGGGTGCTTCCCGCGGCCTCCCGTCGGCGAAGAGGCCGCGGCAGCCTGACCTTGTTCTGCCAGCCTCGGAGACAGCAAATTCTCAATATCCAACGTTGTTGTCGTCGTTTCCGTTACCTTATCCTCACCAACTGCCGCCGCCGTTACAGTTGTTGCAGTTGCAGCAATAACCTGTAGCTGCCGACTTGGGTAAGATGCTGTTTGACTAATAATCTCTGGAATTTTCGAATTAGGGTCAGCCATAAACACACACAAACATATATCTATATATATAAATATATATATAGATGTTGAGAGATGTGACTGATGGAACTAGTATATATTACAGTAATGGATGAATTGTGGAATGATTTAATTTGAGTGGTGTATATATGTATGTATAGTATATATATGAGAAGAAATGAGGGATAAAAGTGAAAGCGTGGGGAAATCGTGGTTTGACTTAATTAGGGTTTTGGAGGGTTTTGGTGCAAATTGAAAGGGAAAGATCAGATGAGCTGAGCGATATATACACGGACTGGGCACAAAATAAGCAATCCAGTTGATATATATATACATAGCTGTTATCTATTGTGTCCACTACATTTTATACTGTCACCAACATCTCTAACATCTTTGTGGGCGCCCATGTGGTTGTGTACCATTGTCTATAACATAATATATATAAATGGAATATAATGGATATTTTGGTATATATAGGATAGTATTAGGATTATAGCTTGCTAGCCTTTTTTATTAATATGATTTTTTTTTATTTTTTTTAAAGTAATAGTTACATATATAAGTTGCTTTTTTGAAGTAGGAGCACTAAGGGTGTTAGCTGATAGCGGTTAGCTGTTAGCTGTTAGCTGACTGAGTTAGTGGGTTTAACGGATTGTAGAAAGATGTTTGGTAAATTAGTTAGTTCATAGTTGATTACACACAAAATGACTTTCTCAAAAAGTTAATCGGAAAAGTTGTTTAAGTAGTTTTTTGAATTTTAGTGTTTTAGAGCAATAAGTTTTTACAAAAAGCTAATTAATCAAATATTCATATTGGTTGTTTAATCAAGTCAAATAGCTAATGTGGTCAAACAAGCCAAAATTGACTGATAGGCTAACTATTTTATCAATCAGTACCTAAATCTAATTCTCAAGATCAATTGCTTATCACTAAGTCAAAAGTTATAACTAATAACAAAGACATACCTTTTTTTTGTGTAGTAGTCAACACCATTTTCAATGACAGGGTTCACTATTTGGACTTTCTCGTTTTTGAGCAGAGGATTAGAAGGGTAAATCTAACATTCGTCATCAAAATGTGACGTGTCGTTGATTGCTATATAAGCATAAAGGAGAAAAATTGCGCCTTCAAACCCAACACTCATAAAAGATTTATGTTGGTGTTATATGAAATATCCAATAATGCAATTTGGTGATGATAAGTGTTTGGTATTTGCCAAAGAGTTAGGAGTACGAATAATTATGACTAGAGAAAAAATAAATTAAAACCCCTAGTTGGGGGATTAATTTTTTTTTTTTAATAATTAAAAACAACTATATATTCTAATTTTCTTTGTGTTTCAGTAGGTTGAGAAAGTATATGAACAGATACTACAATGTAATAGAGCCAGTAACTTTCAAAAAATATATATATATATATATATATATATATATATATATATATATATATATATTCTAATTTTCTAGCCTTGCGACTTTTATTTATTTATTTAAATTATTCCTCTATGTTACAGATACCCTTTGTCCTAACTTATTAGTCTTGTTTAAATTGAAAATTTGAATTGAGTTATTTACAATTTATTTTTATAATATTTAATTTAATACTAATCAAAATATTTATATATTTAAGAATTTTATTAAATTAAAATGATAAAAATTCTTGTTTAAAATCGGTTAAAGAACTGATGTAATCAATAAATAATATATAAAGATGTATATTTGAGGTAAATGGAGTGTATCATTTCAATTCATATATATATATATATATATATATATATATATATATATATATATATATATATATATATATATATATATATATATATATATATATATATATAGTAATAGAAAAAACAAAGTTCTTTTTCTTTTTCTCCGTAAATCACGGTAGGGAGTCTGGAGATGTTATGTGATGGGTTCAATCGAGAGAGTGTTTGCAAAAATCAAACTTATTACCTTTAGTTACGAGATTTATGCTTCACTCACTCGACTATCCCATTTGGAGCACAAACAAAGTTCTTGATCTTATAATACTAATAATAATGTAGTTTTATGGGTAATTTTATAGACCTTGTAAATGCAAATGCCACAAAAGTAGTATAGTGTATTAAATTAAAGTAAGGAGTGAACCCACAAAAATTTATTTAGAATTCAATAAAGCTAAGAATACTAATCAAAGAAAATAATTTAAAATAATTGAATTAAAGTAAAATAGTAGGCTAGCTGCTTAGACAATTAAAATACCAAACTATATATATTGTTAAAAAAATTAAAAAGAAATTCAAGAACTATTTGATCACTGGTTGAGCAAATTATTGGATGGACAATAAACAAAAACACTGCAAGTTTTTCAACAGTTAGGAGAACTAATCTGGCAAAAGTAGGAATACACCAGAGCTATATTATTAGCTCCATTTATAAATCCGATACCTTAAGACCCGGTAACATAGTTAGTTTACTAGTTAATTTTAATTTATTTGACCACTATTAGCTGTTTGACTTGATTAAACAATCAATATAAGTGTTCGGTTAATTAGTTTTTTGTAACAACTTATTGTTTCAAAATACTAAAATTCAAAAAACAGTTCAAAGTAACTTTTTCGATAAAACTTTTTGTAAAATTCATTTTGCATGTAATCAGCTATCAGCTAACAACTAATTTACTAAACATTTTTCAACTAGATAATGCTATCAATTAATCAAACGACGCACACTAACCCAATCAGTTAACAACTATTTACCAAACATTCCTTTAGGAAAAGCCAAGTTCCTTCCTTTTATTTGAACAAGATGTTATTCAAGAAAATTAGAGATTTTTTATTATTGAAAAGTGGTCGGATACTTCAGATTTTTTATTAGGAATGTCATTCTTGAGCAATTTTCTTATCCCTTTGAGAATTTGATAAATCATTCATCGCTATTGTTGACCACTCATCGAAAGCAATCAAACATCTTGACTAAATCATATTAAAGTAGTTAGTGTAGCAGAAACTAATTTCGGATCCCCTCCCAGCCTCATCTTCACATGCTTGATTCAAACCTATAATATGCTCTGATATCAATTGTACTACTATATCAAAAGCTATAGTTAGTAGTTATAATTGTGTAACTTTATTTCATTAATATTATACTTGCGTAATAGTCAGTGTCACGTTTCGATAGCAGAACGATGAACTCACCTCTCCAAACCGTGGCCAAACAATTAGCCGCACACTAACACAATCAATCAAAAAGATACTTCATACGGTTTACCTATCGCGTGTAAATTGCGAATTATTACATAGAAGAAGAGTTTACTCACTGCACACCTTTAATAGTGACGATAGATTTTTCACATCACGGAAAAAAGATATAATAATTTTGGTTGGTAAAGTGAAATCTCAAATATAACAAAAAACAATCATGAGTATCATTGTTGAGAGGGCAATTTCAATCAAAACTAGAATTCCTTCCATTCTTTGACCAACAATATTCAAATATAATAACAAACACTAAGTAGATCAGAAGACAAAGGTTTGAATTGAAGAAGAAGAACTCCTAGCGCAGCAATGTCTTCCTCCATTGTCAAACATGGGCGTCGCCGGAAAAACCGTCCTTCGTCTTCAACAGCGAGAATCGGAACTGCCGGAAGAAAGACACAGCCGCCGTATTCTCTCAGTTCTTCTCTGTAATTTTCCTTCACTTCTATAATGCTAATTCTCGATCTGCAATTTCTTTTTCGCTGTAACCGGCTGCCAATTTATACTACTTCTGGGCTCAACAAAACCAGCAATTTATACTCTTATTGATTGTGTATATTTAAGGCATGATTTGAAGAACAGTGTCTAACAGCCAACATACCTTCTCATGGTTTAGGATAAATATACATATTAATTTCACTAGTGGGAATTTTGTTTGTTCATAATCTTCTAAGTAGGAGTGTAAGGCTAATCTAGTCAAGGCTTGGTGACTAATTTATATATGATACCGACACGTTCGGATCCGTACTTGACCGTACTATATACCTGTTCAGAATAAGAACAATCGCCGAGGAGAATTGTTCCCGACTATCTGTCGACCTGGCACGATTCGGCTCCGACCTCCTTGATGTGCCGACCAGGCCTAGGGTAGCAACTTTAAATCCAGGATCTCGGACACTTCCCGATCTTCTTAGGATCGGGAAGTAAGTTAGCCAACCCGATCTTCTATACTTTGAGAATTGATTAGCAATCTCACTAGTTAATTTAGCGGCGGATAAAGTGGAAGCGCCAGGGATCTTTGGGCACGTGGTAAAGTTCTTGAGGCCTTTGACCTGCTCCTTTGCCTGGGTAACACGCATCACACATGCCGAGCTCCCGGCATGTGTTCTCTAGTTCCCCTATAAATTACATATTAAATGCGAGGTTGAGGGACTTTTGGTGATTTATATTTAGCTTTATTAAGCCCGGGAACCTCTAACCTTACGTCATCAACCGAGCTTAAACTGTTAAACCAACAAGCATACCATTAACAGACCGGCCTACGGTCTGAGCTCGTATTCTACGTATTTGTGGCACATACGAAATTTACCACATCAATATATATTCTCTTAAGGTCATTGTTGCTGTTAGGATCAAACGTTTATCTATAGTTAATAGGAGATGAACAAGCTAAGTGAACAACTTTATATTTCTTTTTAAGTGTGGTGGGTAACATGATGATGGACTTGACCGATCAGACTTCTACCCTATAGTGTCATACATGCCTCAAAATACACTAAGGTGGGACTTTGCACAACCGAGTTTTCTACATAGAAGAGAAATTAAATATGTGATGGTTTATAGATCTATAAATCGAGTAGTTTGGTATTGACTATTTTGAACTGTGAGTACATATGACGGGTGGGTAGAATAGTAGAATGACTAATGTCCTAGTTAATAAAAGAGATAGATTTAGAAGATAACCGTCTAATTGATCTAACTCTTTCAACTTTAATAATAATTCAAAATGACTAATTCTTACATCTTAATCTTTACATTGGTCCGGTATCACGGGATGAGGCATCATGAGTTTGGACATATTGGGCCAACCCCAAATTAGGTTGAGTTATGAGTCATCATATATATCTTTTTGTCTAGACGGCTAAGTTTCATTATAGA